TATTCATTGCTTGTGTCTTACTCCCAAAACCTGTAATTAAGTCTGACTTTATTGAAGCTGTAGACTCTTACAGGGTAGTGACATGGATGTGCAGGCTGTTGTCCAAACAGAACATCCCAATATCTAGAACCTGGAAAAAGCAGTGCTTTCCAAAGATTCTTAAACAGTTGTGATAAATTTTGATTTAGAATAACATGCCAGGAAAGAGATGCAAGAACAGTTTCACTTGCACACACTGTAGTGTCTCAGGTTTTTTAATTAGGTGTGCCAGGATTTGCAGCCTGCCTGCAGGTTTCCTGGTTTTCTGGCTTGCTGAAGGCTATGGCATCTCTACAACTGGGATTTCCTGGGCTCAGATCCCACTGTGGCATCTTTGCACTTTTTTAGGAGATACTCTCAATGGAGTCCTTTGAAGCTATTCCAAGAGTTGCATTTGACCCACTCCAGGAGATTTTACCCCAAAATCATTAGCTTGACCTCTATTCTTAATCAGCTGTAATCAGTTTCCCACATTATCCAAAATGCTTATTCTGGTTGCAAAATCCTGTAATACCTACATTACCCTTGACAAGGATGATTTTCAGTTTTTCCAGTAGCCATCTTTTGGAGTGCCAGGGATGTGCCAGGGCTACGATAGTCTTACCTCTTGTGATACTGTCTCCCTAAAGTCATCCTGGAAAAAAAGGTTGTGGATCCTGTGTTTGAAGGTAGTTTGGCAATCAGGGACCTGGTCTTCATTATAGTTAACTGATATCTGAGCAGCCCTTTCTCAAACCCTGCAGAACAACCATCTGTGTTTGGCGTACCTGGAACCCAGAGGGGCTGTCAACTGAGCTGGAGTGCAGATGGGGAATTTATCAGCACTTGAGAAAATGTAACCCTGAGACTGATGTCTCCCATAGAAGTTGTAAAAATTATAATCTGGTGATGTTATAAACTTCTTGTAGCAATAGGAATACCATTATTGGTGAATAGATGCGATAATTTAAACTGTGGAATAGGCACAAGTGTTTATATTAAATATCTGTAATTCCCATGTTTAGCCTTTTCATGGGAGGAGTTATATACCATGCACAATTTTCTTGGAACACAGTTTCAAATGCCAAATTAAGTATCTTATTTTTTATTAATAAACTATTTGATGTGAGTAGCCTTATGGGTTGTTCATTCCAACAGCCTATGTGGTCTGAGAGATGTTTTTTAATACTTGAAGGGATCATATTAATACTTAGCTTTAACTCTTTCTCTGCTCTGCTACCTTCCTAATAATAAATTTAACATGTCCAAATGCCAGATTTTGAACCTAGGACAAAGTTACACCGGGCACAAGTATAAATTGTGAGAGGAGTGGCTGGAGAGCTGCCCTGCAGAAAGGAATCTGGGAGTGCTGGATCTGGGGCAGGCTGTCAGTGGGAGCCAGCAGTGTGCCCTGGCAGCCCAGAGGGCAAACTGCATCCTGGGGGGCATCAAACACGGCATCACCAGCTGGGCTAAAAAGGGGATGATCCCACTTTATTTGGTGTTGATGTGACCTCATCTTGAGCACTGAGCACAGTTCTGTACCCCGCCATTTAAGAAGCCTGTGCAGGTGCTTGAATGTGGCCAGGGGAGGACAGCACAGCTGGTGAAAGGGCTGGAAGTCACCATCCTGTCAGGAGTGGCTGAGCACCTGGGGGCTCATCTGTGGTAAGCAGTGACAGGACTGGAGGGAATGGCCTGAGGTTGTGCCAGGAAGAGGATTAGGTCAGATTAGGAAAAAGGTGGAAATCAGAGGCTGGTTGGCACTGGAGCAGGCTCCCCAGGGAACTGGTCACAGCACCAGCCTGACAGAGTTCAAGCAGCATTTGAGCAGTGCTCTCGGGCACATGGTGTGACTTTTGGGGTGTCCAGGAGTTGGACTCAATGATCCTTGTGGGTCCCTTCCAACTGAACATGTTCTATGATTCTGTGGTCTGTTCCTTGTACCCATGGTAATAAAGCTGCTAGACAAAGTTATGTATGACACAGAGATCTGGCAAACTTGTAGCAGCTCAGGACTGTGCAAGACATTTCTTTAGCCTGGTCAAAGGCTACACTGCTGTTGCAGAATATGAGAGTCTGGTAGTCTTGATTGTCTTGATTTTTTTTTTTTTTTTTTTTTTTGGCATGGGGAGGGCAGTAGAGGAAGTAAGGTGAAAGCTGCAAGAGTAAGAGGCAAAAGGAGGCATAGAAAATAGAGAAATATCTTGCACTAGAATTGCATTCTAGTGCAATTCAGATAAGACATTTCTTATCTGAAGATGTAAAGGATGGAAAAATAATTTTAATGTATTCTTTGAGTTGGTTTGTTAGTACCAGTTCTTGGCCTGGGGACAGCAGAGGTTAACAGCAGTGCAGTATTTCCTGCACTTCTACATGACAGTGAACAGGGTGATGGTGGTAAAATATGCTGCATTAGGACTACTTGTTCTAGCTTTAGTGTCAAAGATATTTTAGCCCCACAGATGATTGATGGACTAGATTTTTTTTTTTTTATTTATTAGTCAAACCTTAACTCCCATGAGCTTAATGATTTCCACACTAAGATATATAGGGAGCTAGCTGAAGCAATCACATTAATAAATCCGTTTTGAGAAGTGTGATATATTGCTGAGTTCCAAGAATTTACGGATATGAGACAGGGAATGACTAGCTGTGTAGGAACTCTGGGAAAAAATCCTGAGAGAAGGACAGCAAACTGAATGTTAGTTGCTGATGTAGACTGATGAGAAAGAAGAAAAATACCCTAATGGATTGTACTAGCATTTCTATATGAAAGATATAAATAATTTCTATTTTACTCAGTTTGCATTGAATATCACCTCCAGTTTTGGGCATCCACAATGTGAATTGGGTGATCAGAACTGTGAATAAGGATGATCAGAAATCTAAAAAATATAATGTCTAGTAAAAAATTAATTTTAAGTGGATGTTTTGTGTCAAAAAGAAACACTGGGGACACATGGGAAAAGTACTTAAATACGTGAAGTGATTTTGTGAGAAAGACTAAGGAATTGTTCTCTGTGTCTGCTGGGAAAGTAACAAATAACAAACTTGAGTTGTGGCAAAGAATTCTGGTTTTGGGAACTATTCCATGGGGGGCCACGCTTTTCCTGGGGTCAGTGGTGGGAGACAGAGACCAGGGACCCTCAGATCCATGTGACAACAAAGCTTTACTGTTCAAACTTACTTCATACAGCAGGTTTGAAACACCCTGATCTAAACTCTGATCGGCCTGATCCCCACCCAGCCCGGCTTCCTGACCAGTCTGCAGCTTAGGGTGGAAGGTGATTGGTGAAGTCCTTGTGGAGATTTGAATCCAACCTGTCCCTACCTCATCCCAGCACTTGTTTTACCTCTAGGCTGGCTGAGGTTGAAGGTCTGATATGACCAAATTTATTTGGCAGCTACAAGTCAGCTGCAGCTGTGACAGGGAACAAATATCTAATGTTTAGAATCAGAAAGGATTTCAGATTGTACAATCTCCATCCTTTGAAGTTTTTAACAACAGGTTATAGTTAGGCAAATATATATTAGAAATGGCTTAAGTACATCATATTTTGCTTTGGACAAAGATTAAGCAATAAGTAGTCTCCTGATAACTTTTAACTATTTAGCACTCTTCTGTGTTCATTAAATTTCTGACACTCTTGTGATCCACTTATTGTTTGTTCTACCAAATAGAACCTTAAAAGTTGAGCATGTTCTTCACTGAGCATATCCTTGGACGGTTTCAGTTTTGGGGTACTCCTGGTGGGGTTTTTTGTCTCTATTTTTTGCTGCCTTTGTAAAATAAATAAACGTGTCTTCTAAGAATAGTATCCTCTGTGAGAGTTAATTTTGTAACTTCTGCTTGAAAAGAAAAACAGTAGAACTTGTCTGTTGATCTTTAGGAGTGGAAAGTTAGAACTGTGGCTTCAGCCAGTGTTTTTCAGGGCGGTACTGAGAGAGAAATTAGTGACAAATTGCCTTTAGAGGCCACAGTCACACATGAGCCTTTGTGTCACGATAAATCCACCTTAGCTACAGCTGTGCGTGAGGGGGTGAAAGCTGCATAGTGCCAAGAAGTGGAATACTTTAGGTATTTACCAAATTGAAAGGGTAAACTTTGATCTAAAAGACCTCTTTACTAGTTCCTACAGATCTAGCCCAAAATTTTGGTCTGAGAGTGGCAGAGTCTATAGGCAGCAGCACTCTTGGATCTGATTCTAGCTGAGAACTTCACTGTACAGCTTTCATCTTCAAAAGGAGCAGAAGCAGAAAGCAGCAAAACTGGATGTATATAATTTGTGAAAGGAAAATAAGGTACTGTAAATATTTTTTGTTGTCATTTCTGTATTTGTGACTTTCAAAAGATAAACCATTAATGTCATTAAGTGAATGGCAGTGAGACAACCACAGTGATTATGAATGAAAGGGATATTTTGGTGTTGGTAACATAGGAATAAATAGATGGACTTGGCAGCTGATTAGGGGAGACTTAGCAAATTAACTGAGAACAGCTTTATTTAATACAGTTAGGAAAACCTGCATTATCAAATCTTGGGGTATAATCTTCAACCAGCTAGTGACTAAGCACAAATACTCTTCACATTGTATTGAATAAATGTCATTCTTTTTATTCTCTTCTTTTTGAATAACAAGCTAAACAAAATGAAAGTGTTTGAGTGTCTATTTAATAAGAAATTGATATATTGAAATCACTATTTCTCTATAGTTAAGTGACATCTTTGATTTAGATATAAGTAATTACCACTGGAGCTGTAGCTAAAATGAAAATCATTATCATAGCATTATTTAAAAGTCAAAATTTGAAGAACAGAATCTATGTATTCCTAAGATGAATCTACTACTATTGTTGTCTCTAGCTTCTGTAATTTGGTACAACCCACCCCCCCCACCCCTCCCCCCGTTATGCCTGCTTTTACAATAATAGCTAATAAATTCATGTACTTGACATATTCTTTTTTATGTATCTGAGTTGTACTCACTCTAGTCTCTTGAATTAGTTCAGATAATTACAGCCAAAGCTTATCTTCATTTCTCTATCCTCCAGAAGTTTCTACCTTGGTTTGGCTGACTGGAGACTCAGGTCTGTACAGTTCTGTGCCCTGCTGCTGATCACATTTAGCTGACATTTTTTTATTCTGAGGAGAGAGGGTGTTTGTCTGTTAAAAAATACAATGCTTGTGAAATACTGGATTACCTTACAGTGCCACTACATTTCATAATAGAGCAGAAGAGTACAGAAAAGAGCAGTTCATCAGCTTTGGTCCCAGCAATTGTCTTATCTCTACATCTTTATTTATATGGAATTACTTATGATCCCTGCAGTCCTCCCTCTGCTGCTGTAAATTATATAACTGTGTTATATTTTGTCTGCAGCATATGGAAATCTGATACATTTTCTCAAATGCCTTGTAATCAGACAGAAGTAAAACTGGGTTTACCTGGCAAGGTAGTGGGGAAGTTGCAGGGGTGGCTTCCCTGAGATGACATCAGGAGCCATCCCAATGTCTCACAGAGCTGGCTCCAGATTTTCCAAGGTGAACCTGCTGCTGCTCAAAGCTGAGCACATCAGTGATGCTGGTGGTGCCTCTGTCATAACAATTATAAGAAAGGGTAAAAAAAGCTGTGGGGCAGCTGTGAGAGAGGAGTGAGGGGAAAGAGAGAGGAACAGCTTTGTAAACACCAAGATGAAGAAGGAGGGGGAGGAGGTGGTCTGGGTGTTGAGCAGAGTTTCCTCGCAGCCTGTGGAGAAGAGCAGAAGAAATTAAGCTGCTCCTCCCCAGCCCATGGGGAGCCATGGTGGAGCAGCCAGTGGAGAGCCCTGGCACAGCAATGCAAGCTCTGAAGGAGGCTGCAGCCCGCAGACAGCCCAGGGAGAGGAGCCCAGGCTGGCACAGGTCTGCTGGCACAGGTCACAGGACCTGCAGGGGTCCCCTGCAGGGATCACAGGTCACCCTAGGAAAGGACCCACCTTGGAGCAGTTCATGAAGTGCTGGCTCCTGTGGGAGGAACCCCACCCTGGAGCAGGAGCAGCTGAGATGAAGCATTTTGGGGTGACCACAACCCCTATTCCTCATCCTCCTGTGCTGCCTGAGAGGGGGGACAGAAGTCAAGAGTGAAGTTGAGCCAGGAAAGAAGGGAGGGTGGGAGAAACTTTATCAAGCTTTATAAATCTTTGTAAATAAAGAAAAATAATGAAAACCTGACCGGTCCTGGCTACTGCCTGTGAGTCTTTTCTGTATTCATGCCGTTTTCTCCACACCAACTGCTTAATTAATAATGAATAATTGATGGACCAGCAATTCAGCAATTGTGCCTAGAGAAGGACAAGCAGTTTTTAGCAGTCTTATCCCCATCTCCCCCATTTTAGATTTCCAAGGAACTTCGATTTTAAGACCATCTAAAAGATGTAGAAAAATGTCCCTTTATCCTGAAATCTTAGGAAAGGAAGCTTTATGTGCTACCACAAAGGTGAAGAAGGGTTAAATACCCAGGGCAAATGTTGGGGTTTTTTTTCCTGTCTTTTTCTCCAATTTAAAAATCAATACATTTCTTTAGCATGCCCACAGAGATCATGCAAAGAAATTATTTCCTATTATAGTAGTTAGGGTTTGTCTTGAATTGCCTACAGGCAGAGGTGAATGATCTAACAGGGAATGCGTGATAGAGCACAGCTACACTGCACTGAATATATTGTGTGGATTTAGTGACAGAAGCTACACCTGCTGTTTCCTTCAAGCAGAAAACAATCTGTTATCCTGTATCCTATATCCAAATATATTTGTTCCAGCATTATATTTTAATGATCTCAGCTTCAACCATCGTTTCACATCCCCTTCTATGTTTTCCCTTCTTTATACCTAGACTTGTAGCATCACAGGATAACTCAATTTGGAAGTGACCTCTGAAGGATTCTAGCCCGTCCTCCTGCCCAGAGCAAGGTCAGCTGTGAGGTCAGTCCAGGTTGTTCAGAGCTTTATTGAAATAAGTTTTGAGACACTCGAATGAGCGAGGCTGCAGAACCTCTCTAGGACATGAGGTTCAATGCTCACCTGAACTTGCTCCAGTTTATCAGAGTCCTTCTTGCTTCAAGGGCAGGCTGCAGAACTGGACGCAGTACTTCAGGAAGGGTCTGATGACGTCTTAATAAAGCAGTATGATCCCTCCCCTCTGTCTGCTGGCCAGGTTCCTGCTAATAAAGTCTGGAATGCTGTTTACCGTCTCTCTGCCTGAACACGCTGCTGACTCATGCTCAGTTTGCTGCCCTTCCAGCCAGGCAGTGCCATGCCTATGCCATTGCAAGAGTTTCTCCCTTCCCAAATACAGGGCTTTGTATCTGTCCTTGCTGAATTTCATGAGAACCCTGTCATGCCTCTAGCCTGTCCAACGCTCCCTGGGTGGCAGCCCTGTCCTGTTGTTAAGCTGCACCCAGGGAAATATAGATTGGATATTATGAAAAAGTTTTTTATGGAAAGAGTGATAAAGTTCTGGACTTTAGAACTTCTGGAGTTTAGACTTCTGGACTAAAGTTCTCCCCCTGCCTGGGGAGGTGGTGGAGTTGCCATCCCTGGATGTATTTAAAAACAGACTGGATGTGACACTCAGTGCCATGGTTTAGTTGAGGTGTTAGGGCTGGGTTGGCCTTGATGATCTTGAAGGTCTCTTCCAACCAAGTGATTCTGTGTGTGAGTCTGTGTGATTATGACCATATAAACTGATCTCCCCTAATTTGAGGCCATCTGCAAACTGGATGGTTGTGCATTCCATCGCCTTCTCCAGGCCTTTGACAAAGATCCTCTTGTGTAATTCTGTATGAACATCATTTGCCATATTTTTTGCTATAATACAATTGTTTCTTAACTGAAAATATTTTTATTCTTGATCCTTGTGCTCAGATTTGCATGGCTTTAAGCAGTCAGAGTGAATCTCTGTAAATTATACTTAAATATATCTGGTGTAAATGAAAAGGTTTGCTGAGATTTTGTGCCAGTTTTAGTGGCCTCTTTAAGACATTTTAGAAATCATTATTGCTGTTAAGTCATAGCTTTCAGAATTTAGGTCCAAGCAGATAAATATATATATATATATTTCACATCTGCTTCCATGCAAAGTGACTGTTCACAGGAAAGTGAGGGTGGTTTTCCAAGGCTGTTGTGCCACTTTGCCCTGAGGACAGTACCTTCCACCAAAGAGGGAGCAGATTCAGCTGAAAGGCAGCAGTTGACACAGGTACCCTCAATAAGCCAGAGAAATGCTGTGGGAAACATTTCTGTGCAAAACCAAAAACTTTCTGTGCAAAGGAAAAAGAGTCCAAAGCTTGAATTAGTGTTTCATTTAATATATTGTGTTACTGTATCAGTCCTTTTTTTCCTTTTTTTTCCCCAGGAAGGGTAGTTGTGTCTGGAGGAAAAGGAAGTTGATGAGAGCAGCAAAGTTTCTGCTGAGATAGGGAGCAGTGCTGCATTAATGGTTGAGCTTGATCTTAAAGGGTTTTTCCAACCTAAACAATTCACTGATTCTGTATACGACACCTTCCTCTTCCAACTTCTGCACCACTCACCTTCAGGGGAAGGGAACCTGCTTCAGCTACTCATCAGTTTTATACCTGTTGGTTTCCCTCAAATAGTCCTGTTTCCTGAGAACTTCAGTACCTTATATCAATCCTTAGCATTTTCATTTATATCCAAAAAGAGACAGAAAGCATCAGAGCCCTTCAGTTAAAGTTCTTGCAAACATAAAGGCAGTCCTGCCTACTAATGTAAGATGTTTGTGAATTATGTTATTTACTGGAAATGGAAAAGATCATCAAATGATTGAATAAATTTGGCTTAAAATTTTCCATGTCAAAGTTCCACTGATGCTCACGGGATCACAAGCAACTGTGCCATTTTTAAATATGGGAGCTGGACTTCTAGGTCACAACTTAAATACCTCTGAAAATTGGATTCTTGAGTTTGAACTTTGTTATTTCTAAGTGAAATGGAAAGCCTGACTCAGATCTCTTAGCACATTTGCACATTTAGGCTCCATGTTGTATAATCAATTGTCTGAACGGCTTGAGACAATTAATACGTGCACTGGGGCAGAGGCTGAGTTGCAATCCTTAATCTCATCATGTTTCATCTCTGAGCTGCATATCTGACAGTACAGGCATAGCTTCTGGTTAGCCTGACAATCACAAACAGGGAACTGGACTGTGACTTCTCAGAACATGCTGGGAGTGTACATGCCCCAAAACCATTGATTTTCAGTTGGAGTGGGCACTTGGCCTACTTAAAGCCTTCAGAAATTCCCAATCAAGACAAATAACTGGAAGCAGGCATTTGTTATGCTCTCAGTATAGAGGGACTGGTTTTAGTAAGTGGCAGCGACAATAATTGCATGGGAAGGAAAATGTACTTCAGGCTGATGATACTTGTGCTTCTTGCCCAGCTGCAAGGCTGTGATTCTGGAACAAGAGGGCATGGAAAGGAAGAAGGAGGTTCCCTTCCACTCGTTGCAGCTGTACAAGTTGAGGAGACACACTGAAACAAACAAACAAAAAAAAAACCTACACAAACCAAAAAAGAAAATGCTTTAAGAGCAGCTGGTAAATTGAGACAAAAATGTCATTGCCTCAACCCATAATGAAATATAGTGCTGTGAAAATGCTGCTTCCTCATCTGGAAGTAACAGGCCATTTCACCTGGTGTCATTTTATCTGATCTGACATGGAGACGTGAAGTCCCCCAGAGCATCTTACAAATTTAGAAGGGAGTTTGTAGACAAAAATTCTCCTGTCAGTCAAGATCATGTAATCGCAGCTTCTTCCTGATGGACAAAACTTTTGTGTTTAGATATTACATTTACATTTAACAAATCAACTAAACTAGGATAGAATGTCTGAATTTGCCAGCTATTTTTGCTTTACACGGAACACTTGAGAGAAGGGCAGAAAGGTTGCACTAGCATCAATACTACGCCCTGTGAGGGCAGTGGGTGAGTGCAGTGGCAATCACAAGGGAGGTGAACCAGGGCTGGGAACTGCTGCATTCTCGTGGGAAGGATCTGGTGGCAGAAGCTTCAGGCTGGCAGGGCTGGCACATGCCTGCACTTTCCAGATGCTACTTAGCTGCTCCTTAGGCCCTGGTGGACCAGAGTGCTGTGAACAGGTGTTGCAAAAGTGGCTTGATTTGAGGAGCTGGGAGGATGCAGGACATCCAGAGCACTGCCTGGGCTTCTCGTCATGGTTGCTCTTCCCAGTTTGTGCAGCATTTTGAGTCTCTGCTTTCAGTTCTGCTGGGAGCTGCTTCTGGCTGCTCCTGGGAATGGCTGAATCAGGCTTTGGGAGGGTGAAGCTCTCGGGGAGCAGCAGTGTCAACCTTGTCCCAGCAGTCAGCACAGCAGAGACACGCAGCATTTCTGCTCACACTTGTCTACAGTAGTGTGGAGGGGGTGCAGGGGTGGCCTCAGCACCCCACAGGGCACATTCCCTGTCACAGACAGGTGCTAAAGCCCTTTGCATGTTGGAGCCCTTGACTTGGGTCACAAGGGAGGCTGATACTGGCCTGTGTGGGGCTGCAGAGCCCCAGGGGCCTCTCCTGGGGACCCCCACACTGAGTGAGGCACTGCCTTGCCTGGGGAAGGAGCTGCTGGAGGGCAGTGCTGCCATTGAGGGGGTCCTGTGCAGGCTGAAGAAATGAGCTGGCAGGAATCTTACAGGAATCTTCAGCAAAAGCATGTGCAAGGTTTTGCCAGTGGGGTGGAACAACCTTGTGTAAAAGGATGGGCTTGGATACATTTCATCAAATGCCTGGGAGGCAGGGGTACAGAAAGGGATCTGAGGGGCCCAGTGAACTGCAATTTACATGGGAACCAGCAGTGTGCCCTTACAGCAAAGAAAGTCACCTGTTTCCCTTGGCTGCTTGGGCAAAAGCTTAGCCAGCAGGTCAGGGGAAGATCCTTGCCTTCCACTTGGTATTTGTGAGACTGACTGTGGAGCACTATGTCCAGTTTGGGCTCCCCAGAAAGAGAAGGATGTCAGCTTATGGAGACCAAATGAGCCGGCCAGGGGACTGTAGCAAATGGCATTCAAGAGAAGGCTGAGAGAACTGAATCAACTCAGGGTCAGAAGAGATGATAAGAGACCACCTTAGTACTGTAAACAAGTACCTGAGTGAAGGGTGTAGAGGAGACAGAGCTAGATTTTTCTTGGAGGTATGATAAGGGGCAGTAGACACATGATATATAAGAGTATATATGATATAAAAGAGTATATGATAAGAGGCAGTAGATATAGGGTATAATATGGAAAAGTCTGGTTAGTTGTTAGAAAAAAAAATTTTACCATGGTGGTGATGAGGTACGAGAACTGGTTTCCAGAAGAGGTTGTGGGCATGTTCAAGACCCAGGCTGACACACCCCTGAGCAAAATGATCCAATTATACTTGCCTTGAGCTGAAGGCTGGACTAGGCACTTTCTCCTGACCTAATTATTCTAATATTCTGTAATCTCATATTTTAATGTAAAAGTTGGAATTTCTCTTTGTAATAGTAATGGTAATAGTAATAGTAATAATGATATTTCCTGAGGCTTGTGTTACGTAGACCCACACCAGGAAATTTCTTATTTATAATAAGGTTTTCTTTCTGAAAAAAATACTAATTTACTGAGATAGTCATTCAAAAAATTGAGCATCAAAACACAGTTAAGATATAAATTTATATAGCTTTGTTCAGACTGGAAATTCAGAAAGACCTGTTTAGCTACTTTAAAGCACATGCATTTTGCTTGGGCACACGAATTTCACTGTAAGAAGCAAGGACTTTTAGATGTTGTACTATCATATAGTATTATGCCTAACTCTTGTTGAGTAACTGCTCTAATAATGTCAGGTTTAAGCCCTACTAGGAGGATTTAGTCTTAGGGTTTTTTTTAACTTTTATCTCATGTTTCTTAGCCTTTGCATACTTTTGCTAACCTTTTTATTTCTGTAAAATTGCCAGCTATTCTCTGAAGTTTCACTTGAAGACGTTTATAATGTGTATTTATTTTTCAGGATATTAAAATCAAGGTTCTGAGTTTCTTGATTTAAAAATATCTCTTTTTCTTCTCATCTAGGTCAA